GAGCCCCCGGGGGCAGCGGCCTCCCGCTTGTCGGAGGCTCGTCATCATCACCACCACCATCATCTCCATCATCATCATCATCATCATCATCAGCAGCATCAGCATCAGCATCAGCATCATCATTATCATCATCAGCATCATCATCACACCACCACCATTACAAACATCACCACCACCACCCCCACCACCATCATCATCATCATCATCATCATCATCATCATCATCATCATCATCATCATCATCATCATCATCATCACCGTCATCATCATCATCATCATGGTCATCGTCATCGTCATCGTCATCGTCACCACCATCACCATCATCGTCATCACCATCATCACTATCATCACCATCATCATACCATCGCCACCATTGCCACCACCACCATCATCATCATCACCATCATTATCACCACCATCATTACCATCATCATAAGCATCATCATCATCACCATCATCATCAGCATCAGCATCATCATCAGCATCAGTATCATCATATGGTGATGATGGTGATGCTGATGCTTATGGTGATGATGGTGATGATGATGATGATGATGCTGATGATGATGATGATGATGATGTTGTTGTTGTTAGTGATGAATCTGATGACGCTGATGATGATGCTAATGATGATGATGGTGTTGATGATGCTGATGCTGATGATGATGCTGATGCTGATGCTGATACTGCTGATGATGATGCTGATGCTGTTGTTAATGCTGATGCTGATGATGATGATGGTTGTATTGGTGATGATGATGATGCTGATGCTGATGATGCTTATGATGATGCTGATGATGACGCTGTTGATGATGATGATGATGATGATGATGATGATGATGATGATGATGACGCTGCTGATGATCATGATGATGATGATGATGATGATTATGATGTTAGTGATGAATATGATGACGCTGCTGATGATGCTGATGATGATGGTGATGACGATGCTGATGCTGATGATGATGCTGATGCTGATGCTGATACTGCTGATGATGATGCTGATGCTGCTGCTGATGCTGATGCTGATGCTGATGATGGTTGTATTGGTGATGATGATGATGCTGATGCTGATGATGCTTATGATGATGATGGTGATGATGATGATGATGATGATGATGATGACGCTGCTGATGATGATGATGATGATGATGATGGTGATGATGATGTTAGTGATGAGTATGATGACACTGATGATGCTGATGATGATGCTGGTGATGATGATGCTGATGCTGATGATGATGCTGATGCTGATGCTGATACTGCTGATGATGATGCTGATGCTGCTGCTGATGCTGATGCTGATGATGATGATGGTTGTATTGGTGATGATGATGATGCTGATGCTGATTCATGCTTATGATGATGATGCCGATGATGATTACGCTGCTGATGATAATGATGATGATGCTGATGATGATGATGTTAGTGATGAAGATGATGACGCTGATGATGCTGCTGATGATGCTGATGATGATGATGATGATGATAATGATGGTGATGATGATGCCGATGCTGATGATGATGCTGATGCTGATGCTGATACTGCTGATGATGATGATGCTGATGCTGCTGCTGATGCTGATGCTGATGATGATGATTGTATTGTTGATGATGATGATGCTGATGCTGATGATGTTTATGATGATTATGATGATGATGATGACGATGATGATGATGATGATACTGATGATGATTATGACGCTTCTGATGATGATGATGATGTTAGTGATGAATATGATGACGCTGATGATGATGCTGATGTTGATGATGATGGTGATGATGATGCTGATGCTGATGATGATGCTGATGCTGATGCTGATACTGCTGATGATGATGATGCTGATGCTGCTGCTGATGCTGATGCTGCTGATGATGATGGTTGTATTGGTGATGATGATGATGCTGATGCTGATGATGCTTATGATGATGATGATGATGCTGCTGATGATGATGATGATGATGATGACGCTGCTGATGATGATGTTGATGGTGATGTTAGTGATGAATATGATGACGCTGATGATGATGCTGATGATGATGATGATGGAGATGATGATGCTGATGCTGATGATGATGCTGATGCTGATGCTGATACTGCTGATGATGATGATGATGCGGATGCTGATGCTGATGCTGATGCCGATGATGATGATGGTTGTATTGGTGATGATGATGATGCTGATGCTGATGATGCTTATGATGGATGATGATGATGATGTTGATGATGATGATGCTGATTATGATGATGATGATGATGCTGATTAAGATGATGATGCTGCTGCTGCAGATGCTGATGATGATGATGATGCTGATGGTGATGGTTGTGGTAGTGGTGTTCATGATGATGCTGCTGATGATGATGATGATTCTGATGATGATGCTGATGATGATGATGCTGATGATGCTGCTGATGATGATGATGCTGCTGCTGATGCTGATGATGCTGATGCTTATGATGATGATGATGCTGATGATGATGATGATGATGATGATGATGGTGGTGGTGGTGGTGGTGGTGGTGATGATGATGATGGTGGTGGTGGTGGTGGTGATGATGATGATGGTGGTGGTGGTGGTGGTGATGATGATGATGATGATGCTGATGATTATGATGATGGTGAGGATGAGGATGGTAACGAGGATGATGATGATGATGATGATGATGATGAATATGGTGACGCTGATGATGATGATGACGATGGTGATGATGATGCTGATGCTGATGATGATGCTGATGCTGATGCTGATGCTGCTGATGATGATGATGCTGATGCTGCTGCTGATGCTGATAATGATGATGGTTGTGTTGGTGATGATGATGGTGCTGCTGCTGATGCTGATGATGCTTATGATGATGATGATGATGATGATGATGATGATGATGATGCTGCTGCTGCTGATGATGCTGACTATGATTATGATGCTGATGCTGATGCTGCTGATGCTGATGATGATGCTGATGGTGATGGTGGTGGTAGTGGTGTTGATGATGATGCTGCTGATGATGATGCTGATGATGATGATTCTGATGATGATGCTGATGATGCTGCTGCTGATGATGATGATGCTGATGATTATGCTGCTGTTGCTGATGATGCTGATGCTGATGATGCTGATGATGCTGATGATGATGATGATGGTGGTGGTGGTGGTGGTGGTGGTGATGATGATGAATATGATGGTGGTGGTGGATGTTGGTGGTGATGATGATGACGCTGATGATGAGGATGAGGATGATAACGAGGATGCTGATGCTGATGATGCTGATGCTGATGATGATGATGCTGCTGCTGATGATGATGCTGATGCTGATGCTGATGATGATGCTGATGCTGATGCTGCTGATGATGATGATGCTGATGCTGCTGCTGATGATGATGCTGATGAGGATGATGGTTGTATTGATGATGATGATGATGATGATGCTTATGTTGATGATGCTTATGATGATGATGATGACGATGATGTTGATGATGATGATGATGACGCTGCTGATGATGATGATGATGTTAGTGATGAATATGATGACGCTGATGATGCTGATGATGATGATGGTGATGATGATGCTGATGCTGATGCTGATGCTGATGCTGATGCTGATGCTGCTGATGATGATGATGCTAATGCTGCTGCTGATGCTGATGCTGATGATGATGGTTGTATTGGTGATGATGATGATGATGCTGATGCTGATGATGCTTATGATGATGATGATGATGGTGATGATGATGCTGATGCTGATGATAACGCTGCTGATGATGATGATGATGGGGATGATGATGCTGATGCTGATGATGATGCTGATGCTGATGCTGATACTGCTGATGATGATGATGCCGATGCTGCTGCTGATAATGATGCTGATGATGATGATGATGGTTGTATTGGTGATAATGATGATGCTGATGCTGATGATGCTTATGATGATGATGATGCTGATAATGATGATGACGCTGCTGATGATGATGATGATGATGATGATGATGATGATGATGATGTTAGTGATGAATATGATGACGCTGATGATGATGCTGATGATGATGATGGTGATGATGATGCTGATGCTGATGATGATGCTGATGCTTATGCTGATGCTGATACTGCTGATGATGATGATGATGCTGATGCTGCTGCTGATGCTGATGCTGATGATGATGATGGTTGTATTGGTGATGATGATGATGCTGATGCAGATGATGCTGATGATGATGATGATGATGATGATGATGCTGATGATGATGATGATGACGCTGCTGCTGCTGATGATGATGATGATGATGTTAGTGATGAATATGATGACGCTGATGATGATGCTGATGATGATGATGATGGTGATGATGATGCTGATGCTGATGATGATGCTGATGCTGATGCTAATACTGCTGATGATGATGATGCTGATGCTGCTGCTGATGCTGATGCTGATGCTGATGTTGATGGTTGTATTGGTGATGATGAAGATGCTGATGCTGATGATGATGATGATGATGATGATGATGATGCTGATGCTGATGATGATGATGACGCTGCTGCTGCTGCTGATGATGATGATGATGTTAGTGATGCATATGATGACGCTGATGATGATGCTGATGATGATGATGCTGCTGATGCTGATGCTGATGATGATGCTAATGCTGATACTGCTGATGATGATGCTGCTGCTGATGCTGATGCTGATGATGATGGTTGTATTGGTGATGATGATGCTGATGCTGATGTTGCTTATGATGATGATGATGATGATGCTGATGATGATGATGATGATGACGCTGTTGATGATGCTGATGATGATGATGATGATGATGATGTTAGTGATGAATATGATGACGCTGATGATGCTGATGATGATGATGGTGATGATGATGCTGATTCTGATGATGATGCTGATGCTGATGCTGATACTGCTGATGATGATGCTGATGCTGCTGCTGATGCTGATGGTGATGATGATGGTTGTATTGGTGATGATGATGCTGATGCTGATGTTGCTTA